AAATTATTGTAACTGTCATCGCAAGGCGGCCCCTTTGTTTGTATGCCTTGATATTTGTTTTCCAGGATTCCCTTGTTAGATTAGGAATATCTAGAGACCATGATATGATCTTGCCTCTGTTGTCCCCACCCAATGATTGATTACATTACAATCTCACTTTGAATTGTAATAATCCGCCACGTGTCAAGGGGTGGGGCCAGGGCGAGGTATTTGATCATGTGGGCCGGTTCCCCTTGCTGTCTCTGTGGTTAGTGGAACAAGTCTCACTGAGGATTCTGATGGTTTTATAAATTGTGAGTTTTCCTACACAAGCTGTCTTCTTGCCCTGCCACCATGTATAGATGTGCGCTCTGTTGCTCCTCCATTCCACCTCCTGCCATGATTTGAGGCATCCTCAGCCATGTGGAACTGTGTCGATTAAACATCTTTTCCTTATAAAATTACTCAGTCTCAGGTATGCCTTTATTAGCAGTGTGAGAACAGACTAATGGAGGCCTGTATCATCCTTCATGTGTCTTTCTCCTTGGAGATTTACATGCTGATTGATCCTTATTTTATTTGTAACAGAGACCTTAAACTAACTTTTAAGGGAGTTTAAACAAAATAAGTAATCTGACTGGGATTGTGTTGAGAATTTTCACTTACACAAACTCATTTTTGTTGCCCAAAAAGCACTTCCAAATTTTGTATTATTTTTCTTTTCTTTTATTTTTTTGAGATGGAGTTTTGCTCTGTCATCCAGTCTGGGGTGCAGTGGCACAATCTTGGCTCACTGCAGCCTCCACCTTCCCAGGTTCAAGCGATTCTCCTGCCTCAACCTCCCGAGTAGCTGGGATTACAGTGAGTGCCACCACACCCGGCTAATTTTTGTATTTTTAGTTAGTGAGACAGGGTTTCGCTATGTTGGCCAGGCTGGTCTCGAACTCCTGGCTTCAAGTGATCCACCTGCCTTGGTTTCCCAAAGTGCTGGGATTGCAGGCGTAAGCCCACTGTCGCCAGGTCTACCATTATTTTTAAAATTTAAATTGGCTTTAGAGGGAAGTCTTCAGGGCAAACATAGTCACAGTCCCTTCATAAACAATTCTGTTGGGAAATCCTCTAACTTTTATAAGATATAATTAATCTGTTTTATTTTTAATTTGAAAAGATATTATTAAAACACAATATTGTTAATTCTGATTCAGTTCTATTAGCTTTTTCCCTCTGCTGTTCTTCCTAGACAGTTTCTTTCTTTCTTTTTTTCTTTCTTTTCTTTTTTTTTTTTTTTGAGACAGAGTTTTCACTCTTGTTGCCAGGCTGACAGTGCAGTGGCCACGATCTCGGCTCACCACAACCTCCATCTCCTGGGTTCAAGCGATTCTCCTGCCTCAGCCTCTCGAGTTAGCTGGGATTACAGGCATGTACCACCAGGCCCAGCTAATTTGTATTTTTATGTAGAGACGGGGTTTTCTCCATGTTGGTCAGCTGGTCATGAACTCCCCAACTCAATCGATCAGCCCGCCGTCGCCTCAAAGTGCTGGGATTACAGGCGTGAGCACCGTGGCCCGGCCCTTTCCTAGACAGTCTCTAGCTGTGTCGTGTATTATAGCTGCAGTGCAGAGGAGCAGGTGTGGTTCTTGGATATACTCCTCAAACAGAATCAGATAGAGCCTGTGTGTACAGAGAATATCTTGAGAGCTTTGTGCATTGCCACATTAGTCAGTAATTTCCTCTGCAAAAGGCAGTCACTGTCTAGCTGAAAAACCTAAGCAGTCCTCGTCAGACCTCAAACGATATGGGACCTGCGTGGGTCATTAGCAGAGAGCAACGGAGTCACTTAGAGACAGAGACGCTGGGTGAGAACTGGCTCACTCACTAGATAAATCACTTATGCGTGCACATCTGCCTTGTGGAGCAATTCAAATTGTGTTTCAGAAAAATGAAAATTATTACACTCAGGAAGTTCCAAAACACAGTTGTTAAA